TACTTCCTTGAACATGAATTAATTTGGTAAACATTGAGTTTATAGTCCATGAAGATACTATGATAAATTCTCATGCAAATAGATTATTGTTTAAAGAAGATGAAATGGCAAACAATAGTACAGTGAAAAACATTGTGTGAATATCATAAAATTTTCTGTATTAAATTTTAACAACCAAGCAGAAGAAAAGATGCATCATCCATCATGTTTTGGGAATTTTAGGTAAAGTGTTTTAAAGAGCACATGTGGGCATATATGTAGGATTCACTGGAAAACAGTGAGTTTCTCTTACATTCAGGAGCACAAAATCTTGAAGCATTCTCATACATTTAGAGCACCATATTTGTGAAACAATGCTGGATGTGTCGTCCAGAAAGGATAATTTTGGAAAGTGAAAAAGTTCTAGCTCATGAGCAACTTGCTGTTGAGAAAGAGTCTCAGCGTTTTCTCAGCTTTAAGTCATTAAATAAATGGCATTATCTTAACAGAATAAGCTCATATTTTCTGGTCACTAGAAACTATCACATAGAGAAGTCAAGAATTAGGTACATTTCCTTGCTGTATTTGTCAGGGTTCAAATGCAGGAACAGAAATCACTGCAGATATTTTAAGAATACAGGTATTTAATATAAGAACCTAACTTTACAAAGTATTTCAAAAGGTGGTAAGCCTGTGGAGTTTACACACATAACACCATAGCTGCAATCCAGAGAATAGAAACTGTTGTTGCTTTTCCTTCCTCTTTATCACATGTGTGGCTTGTCATAGTGATGCAATAAATTCCTTTCACTCAGATCTCCAAAAATATCCTTGTTAGTAGAAACAACAACAGAAGGATAGTGTCAGCCTCATTTTGCCTACAAATCTCAGGCACATCCAATACTAATCTCATCTAGAACCTTAGCTGCAGGAGAATCTGGGAAATAAAAGTTTTAGCTTTCTACCATCTGCAGCATAGGACTGGACTGAGTACCAGTTGACTAAATCCAGCATACTTCATATGTCGTTTCTCAGAACATCATTGAATACTGCTTAAGAAAAAGGTAGGAAGCCATTAGAGTTTCACATAGATGATGATGTGATCACTCTTGGCTTTGAAAACAATAGCTCTTACGGCAGCTTGAAATTGTTTTTACAGTGAACATTAGTGGTTTAAATTAGGCACAGGCCATAGGGATAGAGAAGGTAGTAAGTCAGAAATACATGACTTTTTAATTGACTTAAGTCCTCAGATTTTATATAGTTCATTTACTTCTTTAAGAAATACTTATTGAACAATTATTAGGTGCAAGATTATGATGTTTGCTGAGAATATAAATGTGTTACATGTTTGCTGTTATGTAGGGCTAATCTAATAGAAATACAGACCCATAGATTAATTTATTGATTCATATCCCTATCTATGGATTTCATTGTGAAAAATTTAAGTCTGCATTAATATGCATCTCATTTTCTATTTATGGCCTTGTTTATGAATGATTAATTTCAACATTACTTAGGAATCCATACATGGTCTTCTGTAAAAAAAAAAAAAAATTGGTATTAGTAAAATCTTCCAAATTTGGTGTTGGTGCTGCTATTGCTAAGCAGTGAATAAGTATATGTTTTACTTCCTAACACTAAACATTTACACACACAAACATGCACACACACACGCACCATACATACATAAATACATGTAGCAGTTTCAAATAATCCAGTACATTATTCCTCTGAAGTAATTAATATATTTTTCATCTATTGTATAAAACTTGCTTAATTATTCCTTATTTTATCTTTTAAGTGGTCAAGATTCTTATTTTGTAAATCAGGAAATACAGTCCTATCTAAGCAATTCATTAAAAGAACACTGTTAAATATAGGAAATCAAATCCAGTTTGTCTCAACCACCAGTTTTTCATTTTGGTAAGTGACTCATTGAATTGCTCAAAATTTGGAATCCTGCAGTTATTGGTAGGACATGTTGATTGAGTTGCCTTCTTAGTAGTAGCTTTTGGGGAACCACATTTTCTCACTGGCCTTCCAACATGGTATTTATTCTATTTGACTACAACTAGGATTCTAATTTTTTTCACTCTTCCTATCATCTCATGCCGAGAGCTGGGAACATTTGCTGGCTAAGAAATTGTTAATTGTAATAAAAAACATTGAGCTCCTTTTTTCCTTTCAGCTTCCTTAAATAACGAAGATAGTTATACAGCAGAGTAATTTTTAAATTTGTGCAACTACAGTCCCATGGTTCTTATTTTTAAAAGAAGTATATAAAACTCTTTGTACCATAAGTCTTAGTGTCAAGATAAGTGACTGTTTAAGCTCCATGTTAAGATATTAGATATTAAATAGTTTGTTCTTCTCACTTCTTGAATACATAAAGATGCTTCTTTTCCAGCAATGTAAGTTGGCCTTGTAGTTGAGAGAAAAATCTTAAGATAGCTGATATTGAGAAACCAAGCCTAGGGAAAAGCTCTAGTTTTTATTCCTGAATATTGAAGATTGTATTCTTACTTTGTTTCTTAAAATATTTGAGAATAGCTGCAATATGCTTTTGCTGTGCTAGGAGCAGAAGTTTGTGTGATTACCTGACATGTCTGCACGTACAGAGATGAGCTTACATTTTGTGCACAAATTGCAATAACTAAAGTAGTTCTGTTAGTATTAAAATTAAAGAGGAGCTATGTAATTGTAGTAAGCAACTCAGTAGCTTCTGCTTTTGTAGAGTGAAGAATAATGGAGAATTAAAAACAAAAGTTCAGGAAATTGGGTTTTCTAGTTTGTGCTTTGTTTGTTAACTTGTTATTTCAGCTTATTTATTTTAAAATTTTCAAAAAGTTTAGCTATTTTCATTCTTAAAGCGTATTCCTAATGAATAATTATTCTTACGACGTTTATTACATTATTCATTTTGTAGCTAGCATGCTATTGCTACTTTTATTTCCTGTAGTTAAAATTTACATATAATTTCTGATTGTTATTTTTAATAACAATTTAAGTAACACTTATTGAACATTTAATGGCCAGCCCTATTTTAAACATCTAACATGCTTTATCAGATGAACATTTTGATTTGACATAGGTGTGTTTTACTCCTTGAAATGGAGGCTTTGAGAGATTCAACAGTTTAGGTCATACGCTAGTGAATGAGAGACCTAGAAATTGAATCCAAACAGACTAATTCCAGAATGTGTGCCTGTATGTTAATCTAAATCATAGTCTTTATAGTTCCTAAATCAGCAATCCCTGAAAGTAGAAAAATTTTAAACAGCTTTGAAGTACAATTGACATATAAATAATAAACTGTATACATTTGAAGTATACAATTTAATGAGTTTTAACACATATACATTCCCATGAATAATCACCACAATCAAGATAATTAATTTACCCCTTACCACAAAATGTTTCCTTCTGATAGTACCTTTCTTCTTTTGTACTGCCCCCCACACCCACAATCTCTAGGCAGCCATTGACCTGCATTCTGTTAGTAGATTAATTTGCATTTTCTGTTGCATTCAAATTTATATAAGTGGGATCATATAGTGTGTCTTCTGTGGGACTTCTTTCACTCATCATAAGGATTTTGAGATTAATCAGTGTTGCATATATCAATAGTTCATTATTTTTTACTCTTGAGTATTATTCTGTTGTGACTGTATGCTAGAGTTTATTCACCAGCTACTGTGAGCATTTATGTATAAGTCTTGTGTGAGCATAAACTTTCCTATACTTAGATGTACTTAGGATTGGAATTGTTTGATCATATTGTGGGCATATGTGTAACTTTTAAAGAAACTGACAAATTACATTTAAAAACATTCAGGGTGTTTTACAGTATGCTATTTTTTATATAATACATAAAATATGTGTTATATACCTTTTTAAAATCTGGGAAATTCTGAATTTGGAAACCTGTGTTTCCATAAAGAGTTCAGGAATGGTCATAGGGACTTGCATTGTCTTGTGTAGTAATGAGGTACAGGTTGAATATACCTAATCCAAAAATCTGAAGTCTGAAATGCTCCAACCTGAAACTTTGAGTGCCCTTGTGACAGCATGAGTGGAAAATTCCACACTTGACCTCATGTGGCAGGTTGCAGTCAAAATGTGGGTGCATAAAAATATTCTATAAAATGACCTTAAAGCTATGTGTAAAAGGTGTATATGAAACATAAGTGAATTTTGTATTTAGACTTGGGCCCCAACCCCAAAGTATCTCATTATGTATATGAAGTTGTTTCAAAATTTGAAAAAAATAAAGCCCAAAACACTTCTAGTCTTAAGCATTTCAAAAAAGGGATACTCAGTCTATGCCACAAAAATGATTTTGTTGATTTAATAGGTATGTTTATGCTTTGTTGGATTTACATAAACCCCTTAGAGGGTGTACATATGTTATTTTATAAAACATTCAAAAAAACATATGTATAAAACTTAAGTAATTGTCTAACTGAAAGTTCATAAGTACTGAGAATATGAGTTGAATGTACATTTTCTTGATAGGTATTTTCATCTTGAAAATTCTATGTAATGAAATTGTGTGTTAAAGGAGATAGCATATATTCTCCATATTGTATCTTGCCCAATGCCCAGTGTTACTGTTGACTGTCTAGAAGCAAATATTATCATTGTGTCTTATTTGTTACTATTATTGTGTGTGTTCACTGGGGGAGATGTGGGTATTGAAATTAATAGCTTGTGGCTTAAAGGTTACATTTATGGTGTGCCCATGGTTACCAGTAGATGACATAGCTAGATTTGAAATACATTCAAATTTCAGAACACATCTCTCAATCATGCCATGCTGTTTACTGTAAGGTTTTAAGTTTGACTTAATAAGTTGAATTAGCATGATTGAAAATTCATCACATTAAGTAGATAAATCTGATAAGTTGTCATTTTTACTTTTCCTGAATTACACATATCATGATTAACCCTCTAATGCAGTTAGTAAAATTTACCAGATATTTTTCTAGTTTCCTTTTTGAATGTATTTTCTCTTGCAGGGTTACATTTTGCCATCTGCCTTTCCAGAGTAAGTGGCTCTATGTAGGCACTGAACGAGGTAATATACATATTGTTAATGTGGAGTCCTTCACACTCTCAGGCTACGTCATTATGTGGAATAAAGCCATTGAACTGTAAGTTTGAGCAAATGTTCTTTATCTGAAAGTATCATTACTTTATGTGATATCACTATATAATAGGCAATTTGTTAATCCATGTAAAATTAATATGTATCAGATATTGGTATTAAAAACAGATTTATTGATCTTTTGTAAGCTATTGTCATGGCCAATTGTAAATTTAAATGCTTTATATATGTCTATATAGATAAGTTTGTGCTATTATATATGCATATATTCACGTAATTCATAAACCATTATGTTTATTCTTGGTAGGTGAAAAAACACTATTTCTGTCTTTTACCTCTTAATTATTTCTCTTTTAAATATTGGTCATAATCCACAAATGGGTTGCCATCGTTGTTTAGAAAATGCTGATTTAAACCAGTCTTTGAGTATGTTTGTTTGTTTTGTTCTTTTGAGACAGAGTTTAGTGATGTAGTACAAGCTAATCTTGAACTCACAATCATCTTCCTCAGCCTCCTGACTACTGGGATAATAGTAATGTGTCACTACACCTGAAACTATTTGATAGATTTTTATAATCAACAGAATAATATAGATAATTTCTAGAATTATTTCAAGGCTCATTCTGTTTAATTTGATACAGTGATGATTGTTTGTCTTTACCATTATTAACAAAAACTGAATTGAACTGTAGAGCCCTGATGATCGTTAGTGCTAAGTTTTTTCCCTTTCTTAAACCCCTTTCTGCAAGTTTTTTAAAAATATTGTTTAAGCATAAAAATAGAAGCTTAAAGCAAGGCTCTTTGTAAATTTTTTGTTTTTAAATGAATAATTTTTCATTGCATTCCACAGTATTTATGTCTTTTTGACACAAGAATAATTTCTGTGATGTATCTCTTATGTAATGTATTGATGTAGTTATAATAGACTGTTAGGCCTAGTTTTCCTTCCTGTGTTAGAGATACTGTTATCATATATCTCATTCCCTTTTAATGTGGGATTTGTGTGTTCTCTGAGTTGACCACGACATCTAGTGGATAGCACTGGTGCAAGTGTCTGTAGTTTTACCAATGACTCTTAAGAGGTAGGGTGGCTTCTCAGCCATCACATTTGATGAAGATGAATATGCTTATCCTTCTGCATAGGCGTCATTTCAACCATGTTCTTGTCTGTATGACTTCTCTTTCTCTGAGAAGGTGTAGCTGGCATTACCTTCCTGATTTTAAAAGAAAGCTATAATAGAATTTTTCCTACTTCTGATATAAACTGTGGAATCAGATAGGATGCCCCAATTGTCTCTGTTACAAGGTAACAGTATTTTAAATGTTGCATTATCCAAAAATACTAACCTGAAGAATTCTGCAATGAAAATAAATTTTCTGTCCTGAAAAGTTTGACTAAATTGAAAGTTCTTTTCTACCTAGAAAGTGTAATTATAAATTTTATTCACATGTATCAACATGATAGTCACTGTTTTTCTTTGATTATTGTTTTGATCTACGTTAAGAACTATGTGTCTGCTACTGAACACTTACTGGTACTCTCTTTATGAATGAGTCTTCATGTTCTTATTCATTTATTCTTACTGCCATGAATATGCAATCATATTGAAATGTTTAAGAAAAGAAAATTTAACCTTTTGTATTCTAGGTCATCTAAATCTCACCCAGGACCTGTTGTACATATAAGTGATAATCCAATGGATGAGGGAAAGGTAGAATTTTTTTTCTAATTTTATTACTGTTTTTGCATGAGTTTTAATTTTTAAATATTCAGATTATCCTAGGGCCACACCTATGCCAAAAAGTTAAGATTACTAATAAAGTTTGTATATTATATATAAATAATGGCTTCTTGTTGATTATGTAAAACAAGTGAAAGAATTAGAATGATTTGTAACTGAAGGGACAAAAATACACTAAAGCATAAGTAAAAATAAGTACAGCTATAAGTTATTAATTTTATTTGGCATATTCAGAATATTTCCCCTAATTTTTTGATAATGTTGACAAAAGGTTTTTTTTCGTTTGGGGGCTGGGATGCCTTTTAGCACTTAAAACAATTTTTGTAGTGCTTATCATATATTGCCTTATGTTACTATTAAGGCTATATCGCAACTTCCTTAAATTTTTCTTCATAAATAGTTCCAGTTAATGTGGAAGTGTTTTTTGTTGTTGTCATCTTTTAATTTGGTTTTTGTTCATTTTAGGGTGGTATTTGGGTTTGAATTCAGGGCCTTGCATTTGCTAGGCAAGCTTTCTGCCACTTGAGTCTCTTGACCTAGTCCTTTTGCTCTTAGTTTGTTTTCCAAGTGGGGACTCTTACTAACTTTGCCTTAGCCAGTCCTTGAACCATGGTCCTCCTGTTTCCACCTCTTGCATAGCTGGGATTAGAAGCTCAGTCACAGAGTGCTTGTCTAGCATGTGTAAGGCCCTTGGTTTAATCTCTAGTATTTAGGGAAAAAAGTCTATAAATAAAATATAAGGGAAAAGGACAAGTTCCTTCAAAGCTAACTTTATGGGGTGGCTGCTGTCATGTTAAGCAAATGTGTTGGCTAAGAAGGCATTAGTGTAAAATTACTTAAAATAGTAATGACTAGCATTTATTAAACTCTATGTCAGGCACTGCTTTACATACACTATTTTATTTGATCCATATTTTAAGTTAGAAATCTTCCCTATTTTACAGATCACAAAGTAGAGGCTCAGTAACATTATATATTACAGAGATACAAGATATAAACACTGATTTCATCCCATCAGTACTCACCATTGTGCTACATTTCTTCTTCAGAGAGATTGGTTATTGATGTTGTAGACACCTGTGTTCATATTTAGTATAGGCACTGATCTTTTTTTCTCAGTTCTAGGAATCTAATCCAGGGCCTTGCACATGCTAGGCAAGTGTTCTACCATGGAGATACCTCTGCAACACTAGAATTTTTGGGATAGGATCTCACTTGGTAGCTCAGACTTGCCTCAAATTTACAGTTCTCTTGCCTCAGCCTCCTAAATGCTGGTATTACAGTGGTGTACTACCATGCCCAGATCCACAGATAGCTTTTTGTAAGAGAAAAATTAGAAAGAAATTAGACATTAGCACATAAACTAATTTTCATCACTCCGAGTTATAAAAGATTCAGCTAGGAATAAACCTTGAAAGGGTTTTCCAAGTTTAGTTAAGTTCTGTATCTTTCATTTCATTTTTTATTTTAATTATTTTCCCTTTGTAGCGAAAGGAATTGAAAACCTAAGGAGATAATGGGCATTAAAATTAACCTGTTGGCAGACATTTCTAACTTCTTACGATGTTATAACTGGCTAAAGAGCTGAAAAATTTACTGTAACCTTTTTAGGTTATTGAGATCTGAATAGTAAAATTTCTTAAAGTTTTATGTCTACTTATTTATTACCAATGTCCTGAGGTGTTAACACTACACATCACCTTGTAACTTTTATTATTTTCCTTTTCTTTCTTTATTTCTGAAGTTTCTTTATTACTTCCTCCATGGGAAATTGCCCTATTTCATGTCCAAGATATTTGGAAGTATTGAGAAAGGGAAAGGAAATAAAAATGTTGTTTTTCCTCAAAAGTATGAAAGAAGGATTTGGGTTAGGAAAATTGATTATGTTCCCTCCCAGTGTGGAAAATCTATTTTGATAACATTAGTAACTAGTTCATTTAACTTTCTCTGTAGTCTGAAATCTGCTAAATTTCTATTCATTAAAATTAGTGGGTTTGCCACAAACTTAATTTTTATTCACAGAGTACATGAATAGTTATAGACAACATATTAATCATTCTTATATTCACTATACAAGTATTTACTGGATGTCTAAGACATACTAAGTATTACAGATATGTAGATAAAGTACACATTAGTGTAAGGATCATGGTCTATCTAGAGGAATTGGCTAGATTCAACCACGGAATCAACAGTGGATTTAAAACTCAAAAATGAGTAGAAGCTTGTTCAGTGAGAAAAAGGGGAGAAGATTTTAAGCACGGGGATTTGGGAGATTTGGAAAAATGCTGGATGAGAGTGTGGCAGCAGATGGGCAGTGTGCACAGCTTACGAGGCAAGAATATGCATTCCATCCTGGAATGCATTTATTCGTACAATGTTTAAGTATCTATAACACAAAGGTTCTGTGTTAGAGGTGTTGTGCTGAATAAGATAAAACTAGTCTCTGCCCAAATGGACAGTATTCCAGTCTATAAGAGAATTCAAGTAAGGAAGAGGCCATTATTATATTATGAGGTAACCCTTCAGGTTAAAAAAAAGTACAGAATTCTATTGGAGCACATTGGAAGGGCATTGACTTATATTTGCCAAGGAAGGCTTCCCAATGTGAGTGGTGTCTGAAAACTGAATAGCAATAGTCAGGCAGAGGAAGAAATTCAGATGGCTCAAAGGGGAGAGTGAATGGCGGAGGGAGGAGCAAATGGAGTGCATTGGGTGTAAGGGTGTGGTAAGGGATGAAGCTGGAGAGGTGAGCAGCAGTCAGACACTGACAGATCTTGTCATGTTATTGCATTTGGGTTTTATCCTAAAAATAATGGTGAGACATTTAAATGTTTTAAATAGAAGAATACATTTCCCTATCAGATTTGTGTTTTAGAACTGTTACTCCAACTAAAATGTGCAACGGATTAATGTAGGAGCAAGACTGGAGTCACAGCAACCAGAAAAGCGATCTTTGTATCCTGAACTAGGTGGGGAAGGTACTGGAGTTGGAGGGATGTAAATTAGAAAGATAATAGAAACTAATCTTAAATTTACTTGATTTTACCTCTCCAGGGAGAGACTTGCATTAAGGATGATCCCAGGGTTTCTGACCTAAATAATTGAATAATGTTGTGAAAAAAAATAGCAAAAGAGACACTGCACTAAGGAAATGCTGAGAAACAGAGTAGAGAGGAGTGTAATTAACTCACTTTGGAATATATTTACTTTAAGTTATAATATATATAAGAGGTGGTGTGGTTACTGGAATTCTGCATCTTAGATCAAAGAGATCTAAGCTAGGTAGAATTTAAAACTAATCAATATATAAATGGAGTGAGAGTTTCTGGCAATGTGTACAATTTGGGAAGTTTGTAATCTCTAAAGCACTTATAAATGTTAATTTTATTAGTAATTTATGAAAAATAATTAAAATATAAACTACATATTATAGAGTAAAGTTGTATATTTAGGATTTCAAAATAGTACTGTTGTCCTTTTCAACTATCAGTTATATTTTGAGTCCCTGATCATCAAAGGAATATAAATAAGCAACGTTCTTCTTTGTCATCTGTGAGATTAATTATTAGCAGTTCAGATATTTAATTATATTATAATGACATGTTTAAAGGATATGAATGATAACAGTTAGCTTTGTTGTTAGTAGATAAATGTTTTATATAATCGGTATATTATTCCTAAATAATGTGGCCTTTTCTTTTATTGCAGCTTTTGATTGGCTTTGAATCTGGAACAGTAGTCTTATGGGATCTCAAGTCGAAGAAAGCTGACTACAGATACACATATGATGAGGTAACAAAAATATTTATGCTCATAAAAGATCTTGTAATTTCTCTAATTCAGAATAGCTTCTCTAAGAACTTAATTTTCATATTTAGTTTAGGTTCAATAGAGCCTAGGTTTGATATTTGTTTAGTTACAAAGGTTTTGTAATTACACTAAAACACAGTTTCTTTTCTATTAATAAATATGTTCACATAGTTCAAAAGATACAGCAGTCTCCTTCCATCCTCACATTTGGTCATCTAATTCCCTTATAGGTACATGTTTCAAGTTTCTCATTTGTTCTTTCTGAGAGATTCTTTGCATTTGCAAACAAATTTATAAATGTATTTTCTATTTCATACAAATAATAGTTCTCTGTGGACATTTATAATTGCTTACACTTTAAGATTCAAATAAAAATTGCAACTGACTGATAAGTGTTTTAATCTGTAGGCTTGTGCTATTACTCCTCACTTTCCTTCCTTACCTTACTTCTCCTTTTTGGCCAATTACTAGTTGAAGATAGTCTGCCAAATGCTGGATATTTCTATCTGCATCACCATTGTCTCTAGCATCTTTTTTGCCTTCAGTTCATCTATAAATTGGATAGCTTGCTGAGCCGTGATAAGATACAAGTTCATTTTTCATTTCTAGGCAGACTTCTTCATAGATTATGCTTACACTCTTCTGTCAGGTGGAACTTTCTCTTCTGTTAACTGTTTGCAATAGTGACAGCCTAGATCTTTTAATGCATAGTGATTGCAGAATGAACATACTCTAATTCTGTAACACTTTTGTCTATAACTAGGATTCTTAAGGAAAGAGAAACTTCCTTTTTTCTGTTACTTTGTTATGCAGTAATATAGTTCATAAACAAAAATAAAGTTTACATTTTTAATTTTTATATCAGTACAAGTTGAACATCCTTAATCTGAAAATCTGAAATCTAAAATACTTTTTGAGCACCAATCATAAGATTTGGGAGTATTTCAAACAAGGGATACTCAATCTCAACCTATATTCACTCTAAACAGATTATTGTCTAGCAATTTCATTGGTGAACAATTTATTCTTAGTTTTAATTTTACTGTGTGTCAGTGATTTAAGCACACTTGATATACTTCAGTTCATTAAAGTTATTATCCTGATTTCTCTTCAAATTGTTCCACAAGTGAACCTCCTCTGAGGTAGCTCCTGAGTCCTTTGGTGACAACTACGTATCTTTTTTTATTGCATCTTTGTTATGCGATATAATGAAAAATTTCTACTAATTGTGTATATTCCTAACCAAACCTAGAATATGATCTTTTGCCATGGAACTATGGCTTTGTTAGTGTGAAATGGTGTGCAACAACCTTAATTTTGGTAGTTTTCATGGTTTCCAATTCAGTGAAAGAAGCCATTGTTAAGAAGTGTGTAAGTGGTTTTGACTGTTTATTTTATGATAAATATGTTGTGGTGTCATAATGATGTATTTAGTTACTCACACAGCACACTATTATAATTACTATAGTAATTATAACAATACTTTGAGTACTTTACAAATATTGCTTGAGTCTTTAGCATAGTAGACATGACCAAAAGGGAATTTCCTTTTCTTTGTCACAGCTGTATACTTTGTTTCTCATTTATCAAGACCTTCAAATTAAAAAAAAAATACCACTTTTTTTTCTTTTTAGATAGTTTTACTGTGTAGCCTGGGTTAGCCTCAAACTTGTGATCCTCCTGATTTAACTGGGATTATATACATTTGCTACCATGCCCAGCTACATTTTCTTTAATAAAGAATTCCTATTATTCTCTCGATATATTTTTTTCAGGGGGGAAATACTAGGGTTTGAACTCAGGGCCTCATGCTTGCTAGGCAGGTCTCTGTATGTTTTGGCCTTTAGAAATGAAAACAGATTTTTACAGGTGATTGTTTTGGTTTTGGTTTTTGTAGAATTAAACAGTGAGCCTCACTTGAGCTTTTATTGACTCACAGAACTAGATTTACTTTTTCTCACTAATCAAAGGAACTGGATAGAGTATGTGTAACAACAGTTTTTACCAGTTATACTTCGGGTACTGTAGAACAGTATTCCTTAGAGAAAAGAAACAAACAAGGTTAACCCGTCAATTGCCTTAGCTAACGGCCTGGAGATATTTTCAGGAATTAGTACATGGAAGGGAAACCTAGATGGAGGCCTTGCAGTCTCCCCAAGTTAAAGAATCAGAGTTGGGAAATTGGGGAAGTGATAGCATCTGCAGACTGTGAGGCAAAGTGCCAGAGGACAAAGAGCTGCATAGAAAGAAGATTTTAGAAGTTCATAGAAGACCCACCATACCAGGTCTTTGGTAGAATGCTAATTAATGCATGGGAGTGATACGTGGAAAAAAATCACTGGAAAGGAATAGGTAATTCCATAGGACTGGGAATAGTTCATATTCCCAGCAGAGTAAAAAACATTTGTAATGCACAGGACTTGAGGAAAATAGTACACAGACAGTAGTAGAACTAAATGAGTCCTGCAGTAAAGACTGGCCTCATCCAACCTGGTAAAGCTTAACAGCAAACCCCGAAATGGCCAAATTATTTCCAAGTATATAGCTACATCCCAGAAAGAAAATACTCAAAAACATCTAAGAGAACATAATAATAATTCAGTATAAATTTTATAATATCTGCTATCCAAATATTTATGAAGTATGCTAAAATCTGGAAAATATCCATAAGGAGACAATGCAAATAGCAACAAATTCAGAAATGATGACAGAATTGGTATCAAGGATATTAAAGCAAATATATTCATTTCATATGAAGAAAGTAGATAAAAATTTGAATGTGTTGAGAAATGCACTATAGGCTTTATAACATATGTAGAATTAAAATATAGTCAACAGTCTAAAAGTCAAAAGAGAATACTTCTGTAATGTATTTGAAGTACTATAATAGTATGTGAAAGTAAACTGTGATTAGTTGAAGACATGCACTGCAAATCCTAAAGGAAAAGCAACAATAGCAGCAACCCAAAAACTTAAGCTAAAGAAGAAAAGAAATGAAATGAAAACTTAAAAATACTCAAAGCATTTTTTGTAAAGAAAAAAGGAAAAAGAATAGATGGAAGAAATAGTGAACAAGGTAGCAAAATGGTAGATTTAAACCCAACTACATCAGTAATCATACTAATCACTTAAAAGCTCCCATTAGAAGGTAGAGATTCTCAGATTGGATAAAAAGGCAAGATCCAAGTATATACTGTCTATAAGAAACACTTTTAAGGACACATATATGTTGGAAAAATATAAATGGAAAAAATAATGTCAGCACTAATTAAAAAACTGAAAGTACTGTGTTAATCTCTTACAAAGTAGGTATCAGAATGATTTACCCAACAGCAGACAGATCATATTTAGTGTCATAAAATCAAAAATCTCACTAAATTTAAAAAAAGATTACAACCATAGAAAATGAGCTTTTACTATGACGAAATAAAATTAGGCATCGGTTAATAAAAAGTAGATGAGCAGTCCAAGTCCTTCAAAGTGAGACACACTTGTAAATCTGCATATCAGAGAAGAAACACAAGGAAATTTAGGAAGTATTTTGAAATGAAACAAAATATGGCATTGTGGTCTGTGGGATGCCACTGTCAAGTATCAACTATTAAATGCTTGTGGTAGAAAACAAGAAAGGTTTCAGATCAGTGGCTTCAGCATCTTGCTCAAGAAACCAGAAGATAAAAGAGGAAATTAAATTTAGAGTAAGCTGTTAAGCTGGAATAATAAAAAGCAAAAATCCATGAAATAAAGAACAAAAAATTGAGAAAACTGAATTTTTGTAAACATCAATAAAATTGATAAACATGTAGTCAGAATGATAAGGAAAATAAAAGATAAATTACCAATATTAGGCATGAAAAAGAAGATTCACTCTGTTTTCTACAGAAATACAGAGGCACTGATAAGGAAAGTCATGTGCTGTCCTAGCATCTTGGTTTGTGTTATTGATGCATTTCTCAGAATGTATTAATGCATGCTAATATATTGTATTAGGTACAACATAACGCCAATAAATTCAACAATTTAGACAAAATGGATGATTTTTTTTGAAAGTTGCCAAATTCCTTGAAAGTACCAAAGCTTACTCTAGAGAAAGATTTTATTACCTCTGTAATCATTTCAGGAGATTGAATGTACTGTATAATGGAAATATTGCTCAAAAAGAAAACTTCAAGTTTTAAAAGATTCACTGGTAAATGTTACCAAATATTGTACCCTAACTCTGCCCCAAAGTAAAAGAAAAAGCCACACTTCCGTATTCAATACATATTGTGTCCTAACTCTTCACCAAAACAGAAGAAAAAGACATGCTTCCCAGTGTTGCTATGATACCAAAACATATGTATATGAAAACTACAGGTCATTTTCCTTCATAAACAGATGCAAAAGCCATAAAACTTATTCTTAACAAATATTAATATATGTAATAACAAGTCTTCTGTTTAAATAATTATACTGAAGATTCTAGATCTGGCTTCTAAATTGATTTGCTCTAAACTGAGTAATAATCTCTGGTTTTACTTTCATGAGTTCTTGCTATTTCATCATTGCTTTTGGTTCATGTTGACATGTATTATATTTGATTCCCGGTGAAGATTTTGCCAGTCCTATAATTTAGGCATTCTAGAAATTATTTTATGTAGAATTGTCCCTTACTAAGAATAGTTCTTACCACTTCAACCCTCCCCTAATATTTATGTTGTATTCAATGATATATTATTCTTATCAAATTTATTTTTATTAGACTAGTACAAATGCCTTCAGTGGCTTGATGTTGATATCAGTTCAATTCAGAACATTTTTAATATAATTAGAGTTAGTACACCCTTAATTGTTCATTAAGTCTTTGGGGGTGATTTGAATAGGTGGGAGTAATGGGAATAGAAATTCATCTTTAAGCTGTTGATCTGTTGTTGCTTTGTAACCATGGTTAGTACTTCTCTGACAACCTCTATTCTCCCCTGGTTATATCTAAATAATAGATGTTGAGTGTACATGGATAGTATTCTTAGTATTTTATAGGTATTTCTTTTATATTAGTTTTATCTCATTTATGGATGTTCCATTCTCTTTCAGACCATACCTGCTATTAAAATATCAGTATTCTTGTAGTAATCAGTGGTAGCACAAAAGAAATGCAATATTATTTATATTTCAGGATAACAAAACATTTTAATGGTTATTAATTTTTCTGCTTCTAGGGCTACTTATCAGTGACTTTATTTTGACTTCATATTGGTTTTTCCTAGTAGATTGAGAAGTATCAGGAATATTGCTAGCTAAATACTAATTTAAAATAGTTTGTGCTTTGCTCTGTATGTTTGTATCTTAAGACTATTAGAATCTTCTTCAAAAAGTGTTGAGAAATAATATGCTAGTTCTCACAGCACTGGAATCAGTAAGTGCTTTACAGAAGCTGTCTTTGGTCTGGAGGTGTGGCTCAAGTGGTAGAGCACCTGCCTGAAAAGCACAAGGCCCTCAATTCAAACCTCAATACTGCTAAAAGAAAGAAAACAAAGAAAGAAACTATCATTTATAACACAGATATTAATGGAGGCATTTATTCCTTTAAGGTCTTTTTCTTCTCTTGTTTTTTTCATATTAACTCAGTTTTTCTTTTTATTCATATGTGCATACATTGTTTGGGCCATTTCTCCCCTTTGCCCCCTCTCCTGCCCCGTTCCTCTCTTCCCCACACCCCTCTCTTTCAGGCAGAACCTGATCTGCCTATAAAGGATACTAAGGGATTTTTTATTTTAAAATTGTGCTTTTTAGTGACATGTATGTTTTGGTTCTATTTAAAATTTTGTTAGATAGTTTGAATCAAAAACATTACATTAAATATTGGCATTTGAATATACAGCTAATTTTCAAAACTATTCTAAGGGGGGAGGGAGATAAAGGAGACTAATGAAGGGAGTCAATTTGACTAAAATACGTTGTAAGCACTTTTATAAATGCCAGAATGTACCCCCAGTGCAGCAATAATATAATAAAATTTTTTAAAATAAATAAAACTTTAAAAATATATCCAGCTAATTCTTTATGCCCATCATCATTTAAAAGGTTTTATCTGATTCATATTATTTTATATTTCATTTAAATTCATAAATGCTCATGAACCCAAATAAATTGACATAGAATGAGATAATAGAAAATGTTGACTTTGTACAGAACTCTTTGTATAGTTGTATGGTTTTGTGCTATGCTCTATAGTTCTGATAGTTTAGTAAGGCAACTTTAAGTCAGCTAACCATTAGGAATGAAAAGTATATCTACATGACTTGAAAAGAAGTAATTCAAAGTGGTGGCAATTTTAAAAAATAAAATTTATAAACAAAAATTGCATTAGAGGGAAAAATGAAGTGGTAACTTACATCATTCATATAACATTATTTTCCAAATTGGTTTTCTTTAATAGATCATAAGATTAAAATAATTTTCTAGTCAAAGAAAGCTGTTAGATTAAAAATCTCCTGAGTAATGATTGTGAGAGATGGGAAGCATGTCTTGAGAGATGGGGTCATGTCCAACCTGAGTTATTTTCATTGATCTTAATTTTAAACCTACATTTTTATTCTTAGGACTTTTAACTAATTAAAAAAATTTTAATGTGCCATTGCAACTAGTTTTTTTCTGTGTGATACTGGCTGTAATTTGTTAATTTATGTTTAGTTATGGTTTATTCTGAAAAGCTGTCAGAATACATTTTGTTTTCCTTATGCTTGAGTGAAATAATTAAAAGATTTTAAAACAGTTTCAATATGAAATAAATCTCATTTGTAGTAGAAGAGGGCTAAATTATCATGAGAATATAAAGTTGACATTGACTTCAACTTAGAAAATACTAAAAAGTTTAAAATTAAAATTTAAAACCATTTGTGAGTAGTTTGGTAATGGAATTCTTGTACCCTTCTATAGGCTATCCACTCTGTTGCTTGGCATCATGAAGGAAAACAGTTTATTTGCAGTCATTCAGATGGCACTTTGACTATATGGAATGTGAGGTCCCCTGCCAAGCCTGTACAGACAATCACTCCACATGGTAAGAATGCCTTGATTTTAAACACTGCCTAAATTGTGGTGGACAGTAAACTATTTGAGTTTATGTTTGGATTTGTTTGGTTGGTTTTATGAATGAACATTATGTTCATTTAGTGTAATGAATGTTACATCATCTGAAAATCGTTTCTTCAATAGTTATAAAAGCAAATCGTGGATATATATGCAACAGTGTAGTTGAACATTTGGAACTCTACAGGTGGTACTTTTATACATTAACATATTTCCTTAAGAGTTCCCAAGGTCATCACCAATTTGATGGATGATTCACTAGGAAGACTCATAGGACCCAGCAAGCACATAGTCATATTTACTGTTGTAATTTATTACACAAAAGGACATAAAGCAAAATCAATAAAGGAAAAAGGTACCTGGGATGAATTGTGTAGGAAATGAAGTTCAGTTTCCAAGAGTCCTTTTCCCATAGAGCCACATGGGCTGTCCTTCACTGCTCTAGTGAGGAGTTGTTACCACATGTATGGAAATACTGTCTATCAAATATACTCACTTGAGCCTCGGAGTCCAGTTTTTACATTTTTTTCTTTTTTTAAGTTCAGACATGTAGGTACCCTCTACTTTAGCATGGACTAGAACTCCAGACTCCCAGAAGGAAGACTTAGGTTCAGCATAAACTACATTTCATTGTACAAACAAGGTAGGAATAGCAAGCCACACTTGTCAGTCAGGGAACGATAAGAGCTGTCTTGAAAGTTTAGTTTCCAAGTACCAGCCAAAAACCAGCTTTGCAAGCAGATTGTTCTAAGAAGAGCAATTCCAGGCCTGCTATGTTAACTCTTTTCTAAACAAGTAGTGTTTATAAAACCTGTAAGAAATTTTTATCAGAACGTTCATTAAAAATAGATTGAGAGGCCTTCTTTTTGTTTTGGAATTTATATTTCTTTAGTAATCTTCATTCTCTACCCCAAACCCAAAGAGAATCCTTCCTGATAAGCTTAGAGAACTCATATTAGAGAACTGCTGTATAAATGGATACCATATAGAGGATAATGCTTATAGCGATTACTAATATTTCATTGCTAGCTTTAAATACAAGTACCCATTTTTTTGAAAAATTGATGCATCCTGAATTATTGTAGTGTGAAAGTAAAAGAAACAGTAAAACTAAGAACTAAAGTAAAATTAAGAACTAGTGTTGCAAAGGAGGGTGGCATATGTCCATAATCAGAACTTGGAATGCTGAGGAAGGAGGATTGTGAGTTAGAGACTAGCCTAGACTACACAGCAAGACCTGTTGCAAACACACAAAAAAATTAGTGTTTGTCTGTGTGTGGCAGTACAGGTTTTTAGGCTTGTTTGTTTTCTGGGGAGAATCACAGTTCTTGATACCACATCAGGAATATACTCTACCACTGCTTTGTGATAGCAGTCATCTTCCAGGAAAGCACTTTAAATTTGATGTAGGTCTTTTTGTTAGTGAATCTGTAGTATAGTCTATGGACATACCACCCTGAACGTGCCCGATCTCATCTGAATGTATAGTATATTCCTTAAGATAGTAGGCTCCAATTTTTCTCAGTATGTTTGTCTTCTTTCCATTAGTTTGTTGCTATTACTGAAAATTCTCATGCCTCTTACAATTTCTCAATTCACTGGACCTATGAATCCACAAAATCAAAACAGCAATAAGGTGTGATCAGTTGAAATACCTTTCCTTTCAAATACAGAAGAAAGTGAAGTTAGTATCAAAGATGGTAGAAATACATAAGATTAGCTATGCATATTAAGCACATGTTGTTATTAATTTTGCTTTATATAATAGTATCAGAAGTGGGGTATAGTTCAGTGGTAGGGTACTTACTTACTTGTCTTGCACATGTGAAGTTCTGCATTTGAGCCCTAGAACCAATAAAAAGAAGAAAGAAAATAGTATCAAGAGTCTATTTTTCTTTTGAATCATTTGGGAGTAAGTTGTGGACATGGTGCTCAGTCACCCCCAGGTGTTCCATTGTTTATGTTTTTGTTTTGTTTTTATAATCAAGGACATTTTCCTGTATCACTTACATTTTGCCTTCTTTTGAAACTCTGTGTGTGAATTAGATTTGGTTACCATGTCCTTTGATCCTTAACACCAAAGCAGCTCCTGAGCCTTCTCTTGACTTTCATATCTTATAAACTAAAATTATAGGCCAAATATTTTGTACAGTATGGTTTTGTCGGATGTTTCTTTATAATTAGATTCAGGTTTCACTTTTTTGACTGACCTATCCCAAAATGATTAATGTGCTCTTTTTTGCATCTTTTCACATGCAACTTGTTTTTTATTTGTTCCAAATTGGTGATCCTTTGAGTAAGGTTCTATGTGCTATAATTCTATTTGCCTTTAAAATTAATAAGCATTTTTATTTGTATTTATAAAAAATGAGTATTTTGTTGAAGGAGATTGTTTGAAACTGTGTGTATACAATTCTAATAAGGCTTTACGCTCTAGTTTTAGCAAATGTTGATGTTTCTTGGCTGAACTAATCATCACTGTGATGTGACCAAATAAAGATTTTTCTATTTAGTGTTTATTCTTTTTTTTTTTTTTTGGTATTATAAACTTAAGGTCTTTGAGAGCAGACTTTGGTGTTATAATCAGTTTCTACAATGTTTGTAATATCTTAGCAGGAAGGAGCCACCAACTGAAATTATTTTAAAACCAGTAAGGTAAAGAATATTTGATATACTATGTTTTTTCAAAATTAGAATCCAAATGAAATGTAAGGAAAATGGATTTGTTTTGTGGTAGGTATTAAAAGCAGGATGGCTCTCGTTGCATATTGTAGCAGTCTAAATGTTGATAGTTAGAATTTTATTGATATAAAATATTTATTTCATTTTATATAACTCATATTTACAAAATCTGAGTTATTTTTGAGAGTTGTTATGTTTTCCCCTTCTTAGAGTACTGCTGGTGATAGGTAACCTATTACATAATTTTCACAATACCAGCTGTTTTGATAGATTAAAATTTAGTTCTTTTTCTCATTGCTATCTTTTATTGTGGTTTCTTATACTTAATTTTTTGCCAAGTATCTACAGTAAACTACTTTGAAATGTACTAGACTTTAAATTTTTGTATATGTTTTTTATTTTAACCTATTAAGTAGTTGTTCAAGTGTCTTAGTTTCAAAAGACATTTACAATATTACCTTGATATCTAAGATACTTGTGGTATTTTAATACTTCCACTAGTGCTTTCCTCTGTTCTTTAATGTTGTGCTACTTTGTGTTAAAATGGGTTAGTATCTTCTTGAAACCTGTGATCAGGAGACATAATGTTATATCAGTCTGACATAAGATTTTAAAGCCAGAAAAACTGTGACCAGTGGAAGTCAGTTAACACTTCTGAACCTCATTAGTCTTTTTTTATTATATTCATATGTGCATACAATGTTTGGATCATTTCTCCCCCCTTCCCCCCACCCCCTTCCCTTACTCTCCCTAACCCCTCGCTACCAGGCAGAAACTATTTTGCCCTTATCTCTAATTTTGTTGAAGAGAGAGTATAAGCAATAATAGGAAGGACCAAGGGTTTTTGCTAGTTGAGATAAGGATAGCTATACAGGGAGTTGACTCTCATTGCTTTCCTGTACATGTGTGTTACCTTCTAAGTTAATTCTTCTCGAACTAACCTTTTATCTAGTTCCTGGTCCCCTTCTCCTATTGGCCTCAGTTGCTTTAAAGTATCTGCTTTAGTTTCTCTGCATTGAGGGCAACAAATGCTATCTAGTTTTTTGGGTATTTTACCTGTCCTCATACCTTCCTTGTGTGTCCTCACAAGGAAGTCCAATCCCCTTGTTGTATTTGCCCTTGATCTAATGTCTGCATATGAGGGAAAACACGATTTTTGGTCTTTTGGGCCAAGCTAACCTCACTCAGAGTGATTGAACCTCATTATTCTTATCTATAAATAGAGATAATAATGAAGCTAAATTGATTTTTCCCCATAGGGTTATTGTGAGATTATATTTATTCATTCAATAAATACTCATTGGTTCTACTATGTGATAGATACTATTGTAGGTCATGGATCAAATAAAAACATGTAAGTGAAAGTAGTTGGAAATTATAATGTATATACATATGTGATTCTAGTAAATATAAATTTGGGAATTGTTATTTACTTAGTAAAATAGATTAGTGTTCCCTCAAACTGTATTGCACAGTACATTTTTTGTTGTTTTATTGATGAGTTATTTGGTGTCATGGTCAATAAGTTATGGAAATACTGAGTTAGGACTAAACGTTTTACTTAACTGTAAGACACAGCAGGGGATTTTCAACTACCTAAAACAAACAAAAGTAATGGCTATCTTTAATCAAGTTTTTAATGAATATCAAAAAACATTTCCCTGGCAGGCAGACAATCTATAGTTCAATTCCAACTTTATTTTATGTGAAATGCTTTGTGGAGATAATTCTTATTCTCTAGTACTTAGTTTCTTCAGATATAAAATTGCAGGATTGAATGAGATGACTTTGAAGCTATCGAGTTTTTGTGAATGTGTAAAAATTAAGCAGAATTTGGGTCTATAAACAGACTTTGCAAAGTCATCTTGGTAGGCTATAGAGTTTGTATTTTTGTATGGCAAACTAGGGTATGATCTGCTTCTCTATTTTGACCTGTTTCTCTCCTATTGCAGGTAGGTTTTCATTATCTAGGAGGGAATAACCCTGATAGTCTTGGCATGGCTGATATTTTTTTCCTGAAGCAGACATCTTAGTTGTGTGATTTGCTGGGTCAGGGCTCCACATAACCTCCCCTCTAGTTCTGGGCTTGGAGTGATGTGTTGCAAAATGTGATTTTCTGTGATTGTCAGCTTCACCTGAACCATGTGATTCCCTAAAGAAATAGAGATTCTAGACAGTCAAGACCAATAGATGTCCAGAATATGAAATAATATTTTAAATTTTGTTTCTGGGGCTTATTCCTTGGTTCAGTTAATCCACTTACCAATGAATAAACTAAAATTGGAGAAC